ACTTCCTTGTCATGCACTGGGTAAATAGGCTTAGCTGATTGCAGCGAAGCGCAATTGATAGCAGATGACGTGCTCTGCACCATCTGTATCAATTTGCATCAATGCACATCCTATAGCCAAATTGCCGGCGTCACAGACCACGTGGAATGGTCTGTCCTGACATTCAATCGCCAGTATGGGCGATTGCGTCCAGCTATGCTTGATACCTTTAAAGGTAACGCTGGCAGTCAGCGTTCCATGACCACTTCACATTTTTCTTGAGCAAACAAGAAAGATGCACAGGCATCTCGGCGCAGTCGCACGAGTACTTGTGCAAGTGTGCCGCGAGCTCAAGAAACTAACGAAGTCCCTTGACATCGACTGGCACTGGCCAGTCGGTGATCGCCTTGATCTTTTCGGGATCAGGGCGTACGCCGTGTTTACCCACGATGCACCCAAGAAGTGGTATTTCGATAGCCGCGAAGATACACTTCTTGAGGTTGGCGTACGACTAATGCTTGCGCATAAGTTGAAAACCTGACGAACGTGAGTTCTATGAACCTCAAAGTCCGTCTTTCCGTCCATAGACCGGCTATGGACGAACACATCGTCGAAGTAACTCGGTACGAAGTCTCGCACCGGTCTCAACAGATTTGTGACACATCTGTTGAAAGTATCAGGGGCATTACTCAGCCCCTGTGGCATCACTAGCCACTCCTACAGCATACCTCTGGGGGTTCTCACTTCTGTTTACAGGATATCACTTTCACGCATGAGGATCTGATAGAATCCATCCATCAGATCCATGGACGAAAAGATGGTACTCTTTTACATACCATCTATGATTACGTCCTTCCTCGGTATCGGCGTCTGAGCCGGTACCGTTGCAGCAATCAATTTATTGAATGCGTGCACTATATGCCATCCTCCTGTGGTCTTTCGCACACAGAAGATCGGAGAGCTGTGAGGGGATGTTGATTCCCTCACATGGCCCGCTGCTAAGCGATCGGCAAAGAACTTGTCGATTTCTATCACTTGTTCACGAGGCAGTGGCCACTGCTTCATGACAAAATATTTCGAGCCCGGTTTGAGCTCGATCTCGTGTCGAGTGCCTTTGTCCTTAGGCAACTTGCAAGGTACGGATTCAGGGAACACATCCCTGAGTTCGATCAAATCCTTGTACAAAGGATTTGCCTGAAGTGACTCCCAGGATTGAGACGTGTATCGCTCAATCCGAGTCTTCTCATCGAGGACACTTTCGTCCATCGATGAGCTGCTGAGAACCCGTTCATTCTCAGCAAATACTGTCGCCGACTGAATATCGGCCAAATAATCATCATATGTGACGAGTATGCAGATCTGCATGGCTTTTCCACTACGCAAATCATGCAAGAACCGTTTCGGTTCTAGCGTTGGCAACTGAGTTATCTCCGACGTCAACTTCGGAGGCACAATCAGATCAAGCGTTTAAGCGCCTACGCTTGATCCGTCATTGACCAAGACGTTCAACGTCTCGGTTACTTCCTAAGAACTTCGTTCCACAGGTTGCTGAAGGCCTAATCGTTCAGCAAGTGACTCTTGAGGAATTCCTTCTTCAAGTACGCGGGGACTTATTCCCTAGACGTCTTCTGACTGTGGCTGTGCAACCACAGTCAGGTACCAATCCTCTATGGTCGACTCTTCAGTCGACCTAGGATTTCCATGTTGCCCTTTGGAGGCAACCGGTATACTCTCGCTAGGATGTCACACGCTAGGCGTAAATCCACGTCCCGGTCCACTCGACTTATTCGAGTGGTGGAACTTCGGCGCCGCCTGTTCTTCTGTACAGCCGCCGGGAGCTTGCTCCACAGTGTAGTGATCAACTACACTGTGATCTTGTGCGGTCGTGCGAACGACCGTACCGCAAGTGAGGCCATCGCACTCACTCGCAGTACATCCACACGCTTGTGGACGCTCCATGACGTTCATCAGATGGCCATCTGATGAACAAGCGGCAGGTATCTTCACGGATCGATGCTGCCAGCTCACCCTTGGCTCGTACCTTCTGAGCCAAGGTATTACCAGGATGACATCAAATTTGTCATCCAGATCCAGTACAATGAAGTCATCATCGTACTGTTCGCCCTCTAACGTGTAGTGGATTCCTACTACACGTTTCTCAACGGTTATCGATGCGCCTGTTGCAAGTCGCACCGTCATCCTCGTGAGGGGAATGTCGCGCTCAACGAACTTGAGCCTACGACCCTCTAGTGACTGGCGACAAACAAAGTTGTTCGACGCCCCACAGTCTACTAGGGCACGAAGCGACAAACCATTTGTCGCTTCCAACTTCAAAATGATGAGCGAAACGTCATCAACAAGTGCAGAGACACACAATGATTGTGTATCTGGAGCAACTTTCGTCAAGATATTTGCTAATTCTCTTGATATTGCTGGATCAGTAGGGAGCTCCGCCCCTACTGACCCCGACCATTTTTTGATGGTCCGTCTCGCTGTTGCGGCTTCGCAGTTTGCAAAGTACCCTAACTTCTGACAGCGATTGCACTTCAGCAATCGCTTGTTGTTCGAAGAGCGAGGTCTCTTGATCTCAACATAGCAGAGGTGCATTGGTTCTGGACCTCCGATCTCTTGTCGTCTCGGTGGAAGATAAGCGTTTGAGCTAGCATGAGCCTGTCTAATGCTAAAGTCTTCCTGTTCCGCGGCTGATATCGCATATTACAGCGTATTCAGCTTAAGGCGGAACAGGTGGCTCCTGACGGGCCTTTCTGCGAGCCCTTGCATGAATACCGAATCAACGTGTGTCCATGGACTGGGTTAGCAGTTATACTTCTCGCAAGGAGTCGTATATGTTGAGCGTAAGCGTGCACATCACGCTTACCCAGCTTGAGTTTCAGTAGCTCTGAACGATCCCTAAACTCAGCGCGTAGCGGCTCAAACGTTTGTCTGAGCCGGGATTTACAGTCATCTAGCGACCTAAACACATTTGGGTCGCTACTCTCGAGTCCCAGGGACCAAGTTTTGGTACGTCCTGCCAAGTGGGTCTGAGCAAATGTGAGTTTCATTTGCTCATCTTCGACGCGACGAGCCTTTAGGGCTCTGTCGAGTTCGACAAACCATAGTAACAGGGAGTCCTCCGGGACTCCACTGTACTTGGAGATGTCAACTTTCATGACTTCGGGAGACGCGCATGCGCCGTCCCGCCCACAGCAGCATGGAATTGCTGCTGTCTCAACAGCTCTGTCTGTTGAGCACCGAGTTCTCTCAACTGCTCGGCCTGTAGAGAGCCTTGCTGGTGAAGCAAGGTTACTTTCTCTCTTTCGGCGACAAGTTCATTTTGAATGAACTTGGCTATAGCGGCATGTTGTTGGTCTCTGTCTAGAGAATCCAACATGGCGCTAATGGCAGTTTCGCCTACGGTAGAGCTCATTCGTTCTACCGCACTCCATTCGATGTCACTCAAATGGTTAAAGCCTTCACGCGTGGCGTGGAAGCTGTCCTCCTCATCCAGCATGTTCATGTCAAATGAGGTGGTTGTGGTCGCTGGAAGGACTACAAAGTGCTACCAGGTGTAACAGGGCACGCTCTTGTCGGATGACTGAAAAGACCTTGTGCTGACTTAACATAAGGATGCGTAATCCCGAAGTCACGTACACGTGTCAAGGAAGCACGAGGAAGAAACCAGAACCCGAAAAGTCTGTTGGAGGAAAAAGTAGAGCTGTATTTAATATAGTTATGTTTCTTTTCATGAACTATCTATGTCTTAGTCTAACTATATTAAACTACAGTATCCTATGTGGCTTTATTGCTCACCACCCATTGCGCGCGTCCAGCAGCGAGTGGTGGTTGATCTGGTAGGTACACCGTGTACATCAACCATTAAGTGGAGCATCCCAAGAATGTTATTCTCGAGGTAACATTCCGTCAACATCACCTCGTCTCGAGTGATATTGTTTGAATATTATCTAAATCGATAATTGTCAAAATCGATACCTTCGTACCAACTTTTACGTAACGGGCTCACCCCGTTACGTTTGCTGCATAAACCTGGTAGTCCATGAGCACTTCGATCGATATTTGAAGCACCAGCCAGGACATGGAGAATCTTTACTGCTGTGGTGTATCGCATGTGACGATGAGTTGTTATCAAGATTCGACCGCATGGGCTAGAGGTGAAACGTTATGATGTAGCTTGATCTATAAGCCTTTCCATGTGGACACGATCGATCACAAGCTGCTTAAAATTACGAGCTTCACGTCCAGGTCATCCAGCACGATCAGCTCCACGCCAAAAAGCGCACTTGAGAGCGATTTCTGAAGTTGCTGCCCTTGATAGCGATATGATACAGCTGGGTGTAGCCTTTGCGACGCAAGCGTGTTTCTGTGTGACTGGGCCATATGGAGCGAAACGTGCGGACTCTGCCACGATAGCCAGCTAACTCTGTGCTTGATATCTGCAGCTGCGGACTCACACAGAAGTGGAAGCGAATCGCATAATGGGTATAAGGAGGCTACATGCCGGGACCAAGTCCGGTGTTAGCGGCACCCTCGTACAGTTCAGGAACGCACGCGCCAGCAGCGATGGCGCACTGGTAGCATGCAAGAACTAAGTACCCTTCCGTCATGATGTGTTCATATGGAAAAAGGAAGCGATTACATGTTTGCGTTGGCGCTGCTAGACGTGGCAAAGCAGCTTTACGGTAAAAGCTGCGGCCCCTGTTCCAGAAGAAAGCCGACATGTTTTGCCACGATCACATTCGGCTACTTTGCATCTATCTTGTAAGCTGCTCAAGAATAGATCGATATCACTTTTTGCAATCGACACTTGTCGCGACACGATCGAGCTGCTGAAGTGCTGTAATTGCAGTCAAATGCTGAAGCACAATGGCGAACACAGACTTTATAGGGCCATTCAGCCTGTCTACCATAGTAGTGTCGTATTTGACAGGCAGCCAATGTCTTACCCGTCACTAACAAACTTGTACCTGCCTGACGTACAACAACTTCACTGACCCATTGTTGCATTACATCTGCACGCTCCAGAAGTCCATCGAAAAGTCGTGTTTGAAGATGTAAGACTCGACGAAGTCTGGGTCGGTGACAGTGGACGTCTGGTAGTTGTAAATCAGCGCCTTGCGCTCCACACTCGGGTCCTCAAAGTGCAGATTGTTCTTCCGGGCTTCGTCGATGAAGAAATTGGCAAAGAACTGTCCGACAGCAACGCCCTCGCGTGAGTGGTCCACCACCTCGTACGGGGTGCCATCCGGGTATCGTCCATACTCGAAACTGTTCTTCTCGGGATGGAACTGCACGGCATAAACTGGATACTCTTTGGCTTCGTAAGCCGAGATAAACTCGACCCCTTGGCGGTCCACATTGGTTGCCAACACCGTGTAGAAGTCCGTCAGGGAAGGGTACTGGCGAAACTTGTCAGGAGTGATGCCCAGCTCGTGGTTGTTCATGGTGACAGGCTTGTCTTTGAGCCACGAGTAAAGCTCCGGACTGGCCTGACGAAACATCCGGCTACTAGGCGCTTGATCGGTAAAGTTGAGGGGCAGGGTGAGGTTGTTCGAGTCGAATCCGCTGCTCAATGAATCCACATCTTTCGTGGTCAGTTGCACGAGCCACTCAAAGCCCAGACAGGTGCCCCACACCGGGAAGTACACGCCCTTGTCGTTCAGTTCGAGTGCCAAGCGGAATAGCCACTCGGCTCGGTCATTGACGGCAGCCACACCTCCGGGGAAGAAGAGACCGTTCAGTTGCGGCAACAGCTGCTCCACGTACACTTTGGGCGCGTTGTAAGGGATGGGGACCACGCGGCCGCCCGCACTCTCGACCCACTTGACGTACGACGCCGCGATGTACTCCCCGTGTTGCGCAATGGGGTGGGCGACGATACCGATGATTGGACCCTGGACACTTGCGGCGGCGAGGGAGACGCTCAAGGCCACGGAGCAGAAGAGGACGTGCAACGCTTTGGGCTGCATGCTGAAATGGATTGTGAATTCGGTCTCAACGGTCCCAGTGGTATGATGCGAGCATTTGACTGGCTCTGTCCAGAGAACTCGTTGGTCCAGTCGAACAGAGGGAAACGAACAAGTCACGATATGACCGGTTTTTCGAAGGATACGTAAACATCCGTAAGCTTTTGCCCTATGCAGACAGCTTGCTAGCCAGCAGTAATTACGTGTGACGGTAAACAATGGCACTTGATGCGTCATGTACAGCCCTGCTAACGTTATTGAGCTGAAGAAGTTTAGAATCGAGATTGATTCGTATGGCGCACGTAAAATACATGCATTTATGAGGTCGGCATCGGTGAGCAAAGAGTGAAATTGGCATGAGTCAAACGCACACCGATCCCCTACGTTTTGCCACACACTGGCATCCGAAAAGATCTTTGTTTGTCCATCAAGAAGCTGACCAAGCGAGTTTGTGCCGATCTATAATGCTTGATTCGCGATCGAAGCTATTCGCTAAATGAGGATACAGGATGAACGGCTCATCTGGTGCTTCGAATGAATGCAATGATACAAAGTGAAATGAGGTTACAGCGTGTTGACGATAATAAAGAGCCTTATCAAACATGGACTGGATACCCTAACCGTAAACAGTCTTACCGAGTACGTAATTACCAGCAAAGGCGTGTCGATTTCGATCGTGATGTTACTAAAGCAGGTGGTAAGACCTGGCATTAGGGTACTTGACCGAGGTCCATCATCGTTGCTTTTTCATTCATATGAACTCGTCCACGCTTCGCAGAAGCATGTATCGCCTTGCTATGGTCTTTGACGCTTACGAACTTTGTGCGCTTGATTCTAGTACTAGTAGATGATGACTTTACGAGCTAGGTGTAGGCGACTCTCTGCGTCTATTCTCGTGCAATTTATAGAAACAGGAAACTCTTTCCGCCGAGTTTGTAGGAATCAAGAGCTCGGAGGAATTAGCGCTTCCTCTGATGTTACCGCTGCGGTAGCCCCAGCACATATTTCATGCTCGAAATCTGATCAGGAAAGTCTTTGGGCTACCTATCGTTATCCCTTCAAATTTCTACTTGATCTTTTCAGCGTATTGCACATTTTTTTCCAAAGAATGGGAGCAATACCCCCTAAACCTTGCGATTTATGCATGTTTCGTTGCCGGCAGACTAAAGACGATTGAGTTTGATAGATCGTGCATGCTTGCAAAGATATGAAGCATAAGACCCGCCTACACTGGAGCAGCACGTTCGGAGCTCGCTTTCGACGGAAGCAGTCAACCTTGGCGCACTGAATGGAGTTTGACAATAATATGTACCCATTACGAATGGTATACGTTGGCAGCTGGGGGATGGATGGGTGTGCGGTGGAGGCGTAATGATCGCAGTGCTGACATATTTGTTGCGTGACAAACAGGAGTAGCAAAAAACTACTTCTGTGTTCAAGACACGAATCATAGAATGGAGAGACAACGCTGCTGATCTTGTACACACGCCAGCAAAACAACACGCGGCTGACGAAATGAGTATTGATGAATGAAGAAGAGAAGGTTAGGGACAGAGCTATGTCGCGAACAAGAAGTGACCGTTACTTTTCGTCTTTTTTTCGAAAATGGGTATCACGGACATCGAAAGAGTGTTGCATGTTCACTTTACCTTATCAGTGCTAGTGTGCGAATTGTTAAGATTCGAGTAGTAGGTCGTTTTTTCATCACTGCTATCGTAGAAAATAGCATACGCCTCCCCGAATACTGGTTTCTCCACGAATGCAAACTTCGACCACGCGCCACTCACTGTATTTGAATTTTATATATTTACTTTCACTCCTGGCACTAGCTCTCGTATCGGCAAACCTATACACAGGGAGTAGAGACGGCAAATTTGAAGATGCAAGACTGTCTCGATCGGTCGATGCCAACTACCATTTTGCAGCATGTTTTATCCATCTGTCCTTTCAAGATCATCGCTAATCTGTGCAAATTTTGCCAGCGGTTGCACACGACGACGAAGCCTTCTCGACCGAGTATATCGGGTTAGCTGTTCACTCATGATACATAGCTACAAATAATACTGTGACATCTCGCACGTGATGAGCAACACCGCAAGAACAGGACTGGCAAGGCGATGATTGATTGTTGTCGACCACAAAGTAGCCTGATTTATTGAGCCGATGCAAAGACGCAGCACTTGAGTGGCAGTCGATGCTGCATTCTTCATACTAGAGCAGTAGTATAAAGATGTACATTATGCCTACGTGTACTGCCTCATTTCGTAGCGGTGTGGCCTCCTGATCACTAAGACCAGCCGTTGCATGCGATAGGCCAAACGGGTCTTTATCAGCCAGCATTGCCCCACTTGCCATATGGAATTCTCACCCGTGTGGTGCTCGATGCTGACGCATGCCTGCTGTCGCGTAGAGGATAAATATCGTTTTTGTTTGAATGTCAGTTGCGTAAATGTGGTAAGAGCCGACCATTCTCTATCGCTTCTCTCGCTAGGTTTTACTCGTGCTACCTGCTTCACGGTAAAACCAAGCGGACCCGCACGCCGCCTTCTGGCTTAGATGATTACAAGGAACCTTATTAGCTTGTGTAACTAGAAATCGACTACTTACGATAGACCGGGGGTGTAAACATCACACAGTCATATGCGTTTGCTGCACAGTCTAGCATTCCGAACAGTAGCCTGCTAAATCAACTTAAGACCATAGCTTACGACGGCACCATACAAACGCATAACCTTCGATCTTACAGAAAAGCGTATGTGTTCTCAGAGACGTCCGTGGCGTGCCATAATCGGTGGAGGACCGTGGCTATGCACGGGACCGTGGCTAACGTTCTGACCTTCTTTTTTTCGGAAGTTGGGTATGCGGATCAGCGCAAACGCGTTCGGTGACAGGTGATCGGTCGCCAGCTGCGTCAGTAGCCAATTGCATGGACTTTCTCAGTCTCCGAAGCCAATAATTTTATGGTTAAGCACCGGACACACGACGTTTCGAGCGCCTTGCGCGCGGCGGCTTGTTCAGTATGCGTTACTGCGTAAAGACAACGCAGCTTCCAGCAGGTTGAGGACGTGTATACGCCTGGCGTGTCCCGGTGGTCAGTGCTGCGTGCCGTCCCGATACAATAAAGAACACATCTATGCACCTGATCGCTTACCTGAGGCTGTCGTTGAAATTCACTGAAAGGTCCAGCGTTCGCTGGATTCGTTCGTGTGCTTCTAGAGCGTTTCTGAACCAAAAAGCCCATCGTGGCTGTCGCAAGGACGCCTAGAGTCCGCCTGTCCTGTCGCACATCGCTAGAGCTCAGGACAGCAACTGCAATCTTCAGTATCGAGTCCTGAGGCTTTGACGCAGGCTGCGGTCCGACGCATCAAGCGCACGGCAACGGGCACTCGTTCCCGTCAAAACACATGATGAACAACGAACGAGCTTGTGGATTGCCCGTCGATACACCAAGAGCTCGGTGGTCATGGAACTGTGATCGAACTGCAGTTTCTCGCCCACTGACCATGCGATATTTTGCTATCGATTGAGTACGGCCAAGCCCCTCATCGCGGTCGGAATGGCACGTCTACGTCGGCAAGCTCAGTAAAAACCCCACTGTTCCGTCTCGCCGAAGGTGGACGGACAGTCGCGATCGTGTCTTTGTCGGTAGCTGTGCATGAAAGCGGTCAACCACAAGCGCAACGGGAGAGGTTTCGAAGGGCTCTCTCCCTATAGCGAGCAGTAGCAGATGGTCGACGCAGGTGTCGGTGCAGACGGTACGTCCCGCCCACCCACCCACCCGCCGTAGAGTGCAAAGGTGACCTGCAGACGGGCCGGTCCGAGCGAGCTGCACCGACTGGACGTTTCCACTTGTTTTGTCCCGTCTGTCGGTCCGCTGCTCCAGTGTACAGGCGGCAACAACAACAAACGGCGCAAACAGCGCAGGACAGTCGAAACGGCCGTTGCCATTGGCTAAAAAGCATCTACGGGCCCCCGACTCGCCCTCGCAATTGCTTCCGCCGTCCGCCCGCGTCATGTCGCGTTCACTTACGAAATAACGCTCCAGAGCTAATCACGACAGTCGACTTCCATTTCTATTTCGTCGTCCACCCACCCACAACCCACCCACACCCACTACACTGCGTCGTCATGAGCGCCTATTGGCACGAACGCGGCAACGTCGACGCGCACTTCCACCCGTCGGTCTCCGCTGGACCGCTAACCGCCCACGACTTGGACGACGTCGACTTCTCGTCCGACTTTGACGTCATCGAGCGCGTCACGGACGCGGACATCCACGCGCCTGAACGGCCTTGCGCGTCCGTCCCGAGTTCCGTCTCTTCTGCTCCTGTTCCGGCGTCGCCCCAGCTGCCAGGCTCTCGCTCGATCTCGCAGCGGATGTTGCGTCTATTGCAGCGACATCGCGGGAAAAAGGGCCACGCGGCTGCTGCGTTGCGCTCGCCATTGGCAGCGGGAGCGATTGAGCAGAGCGCCGACGACGCTATGGAGGAATCGCGGTACTCGCTCGTGGATCACAAGACGCTGCGATTGAGTACAGATAGAATGGCGGAAGGTGATCCGCTGTCGTCGCGCTCGGGGACGTCGTGCACGGACCGACTGGAAGCGCGGATTTCCCAGAGCTTTCTGACGCGGCGAGAGAGCCAGTTTGGACTGTTGGACCTGGAAGACGGGCAGGACGCGTCGCTTTTGTACTCGGGTAGGAGGACGTATCCGGCCGAGTCGATGACGCACATGGACTACGCGAGACGGTCGAATCCGGATTGGAGCGCCCATTCGGCTGCGTCTCAGGAGACGAAAATGATGAAAGTGCTGGAAAAAGAACGCGCTGCGAGAGTGTTTCATGCTGTTCAGTCGAACCCTACGGTTGCGGCACGCGTCAAGAAAGACACGGGCGTGCGTTTTCACTTTCGACGAGGAACGCCAATAGACAAAAAGGATATGCTGGCTGAGCGCATGGGCAACTTGACGCTCAATAGCGAGCAAGTGCGTGATGAGCTGAAAACAGCGCTGGTGAAAGCGCAGTCGGTAAAGCATGTGACGGACCTCGAGTACACGACATTGGCCGTGCGACTGGCAGACATTGAGTCGTTGGTAGATGGAATGGAGAAATGCGTCAAGACGCCGCCGTTTTCGGCATTTTCTGCAAACATGCTGAACGAGATGAAACTGCTTACACAGACGACCCAGCAAATTCGTGCAAGTGGCACGACGCTGATTTTGGCGCACGTGGGCAAGCACCAGAACGCAGAGTTTACGCACGCTCTCCGACGTCTGGTTGCGAGAGCAGCGTCGGTTCAGAAGCGCATCAGTGAGCTCCTGGACGCAGCTTATGGCGTCAAGTGCTAGCGCGCGATTGTCTACTGTCGATCAACAGCGTTTGTGCAATGGTCGTGGGCACTTTGTCGTGCTGCGTTGGGCCAGTACTCAAGTGCGCGTTTGGCACTTGGCCCGACTCTTATTATTGACCGTGCTTTCTGTCCTGATCTACAGTACCTACTTGTTGGGTATACAGGATACTACTAGAGAGTAACCTGCTCGTTGAAGCGCGTGCCGTTTGAAGACACCCGTGGAGGGTCTTTATTCGTAGCGTATTTGCTCCGTCTTATGCGAGAATTTACTATATGCTTTTTACTCTCTTGTACAAAAGTTGCATTGCTGTTGAAGCCTTGCGTAATGCTAGCGACAGCGTGAAGAGCACTCAAATGCTGTGTGAGCTTTTCGAAAAAACGAACAGGTTCTATCGTGCAAGCAAATAAATGCAGGAACGCAAGATTTGTTTATCATAGCAAAGACGCGGCACACACTCACGTATATCAGCTCTTGCTGCCCTTCATTGTACTTCAGCTTGTGTTTGGTCTTGCACATCCTGGCTAGTTTCTCCCCTTCTCGCCGTCGATACAGGTCGAACCAGTTGCGAGTCGTAGGTCTCTAATAAACCTCAGCCAAGACAAAGTGCATCTTCTCGACCGATGCAGATACGACTTTGACGGTGCACGCGCCAGGGCTCATGTGCACATCGCCCCCGATTTTCAGTGAAACACTGTACGTGATTTCCTCGTCGTTGATCGTTGTGGTCACTTGTGCTTCGCAGTCGTCCAGCGCTAACAACACAGCTTCAGTCGGCAGGTTGAGTGAAAGTGCGGGACTTGCGTGGTCTTTGACGTGCAATGTGATGCGGTACACACGACATTCCGGCTCGTCGGCAAGTAGCTCGATACCTGCACCAGCGTGTAGCGGCAACTGGCCATTTGGAATGATGTCAGCCTTCTCTTTGAGAAGTTCAATTTCAATGAGAAACGCAGGCAGCTCTCTCGTAGTCGCGATGTGAATCAACTTATCTTTCGTATGGTCGCGACAGAACACGGCACCTTTTTCCTGGACTAATGGTCGCGGCTGTTGGCCGTAAGGCTGCTCGATCACATCAAGCGGTGCCATCACCACGTAGATTCCGTATTTTAGATGCTGGTGCCATTTGCACGTCGTGTAGGGAGGAAACTCTGCACACACGAGACGCAGGGTGTTAGTGCGCCAGCGTTGCTTGTGTAGTGGCTCAAAGTCCACGAGAACGTAGTCAATGTCCGGCTCGGTATGGGCCCCATGAATCTCTGCGTCCATTGGACAACAATTCCTTTTTCTTGACGCGATTTAATAATGTCTTGGAAGTTTGCAGAGCAACTGTGTGAGCCCTACGAATTGTCTATGTGGGCTCAACTCATTAGCGCTTGTTCGAGCCCAGGTGAGACCAGGCCAATTACAATGTCGTGCTGCAAAATAACAATGGGTATGCTAATCTTGGGACGATTTAGTTCGATATAGGGGACTTCTTGCGCCAACGCTATCCTCGCCACAAGTACCTCGAGACAACTGTTTTAGCAAACGTTTTTACTGAAAACATCATTCAGTTAAGAAACAGACACCTAGCAAGACAACTGCACCCAGCATGACGCAAACCAGAGGAAGGACACCACGTTGGTTGTTGACTGCACTGCCATCTTTGAGTGCAAGCACATTCACTGCCGACGATTGCACCTTCTAGCATGGTAGTGACCTCGACATCTCTCAACCATCCGCCGCGACTAGTGAGAGTCTTAGCAGGCAACTGTAAAAGAGCCCCATGCCATGTGGCTACGGCAGGGAGAAAATGGGGCCCTCATCCTGGATCGACGGCGCAGCGGATTCGTGCGATCTCGCTGAGCGTAACATAAGTACGCAAATGTAGCCATGCTGCACTACAGACTCTTCTTGTGTAATGGTGACTGCCCGTGTATGAGGCGCATAGTGATGCCGCACTGATGCTGCTAACGTTCACGAACACGGATCTGATGTCCAACTTGGTCTCTATGAGTCTACACACTTGTGAGCTTTGCTGCACGTCTGCCACACGCATTGGCCCAGTCGGTTGCTATCAGGGAATGACCCTGCTTGTGAGACCTGGTGCGCTCAATGAACGGGTGTTGTTTGTATGCCGTGGCAAAGTCCGTATCAAGACACTTGGTGTGCCTGCATGCTAAGCAGTAGTTTTATCACCCGTGTTTTGTACACATACGACTCAGCCGCTACTGTGATAGCGCGCATATCGTGACGTCTAGTTGTCGACCGGGACTCTAGATCAAGAAACCCGTGCTATTCCGCCTATTTCTCGTTTTGTACGTGGTCGTCATTGCGGCGGACAGCTGTCAAACAAAGGATTTGTCGCAGCACGGAGTCACAAGGAATACCGTCAACAAGTCAGCTTGTGCCGGAAGCAGCACGCAATATCACTACCGAACTTGGCGACACATTCTGAGATACACCAGATGACAGTCAGATGCTTATGCGAAAGTAGTTGATGTGCAGCAAGGCTCCTTGTTGAGGTCGCCGAGGCACATTGATTACAGTTGCATCTCGCCAATCTTCCCACGACTTCATATCGAAAAATCCAAGCGCGTCGTGCATTCGAGAAAGCTACGCTGTCCCATTGGAAACAAAGATGAAGTCACTTTCAATAATGAGATTGATTAGTGGTCAGTCGCATCGCAACCTTTGGCACACTACGTGAATCGCAAAAATATCCGAAACAGCTTTGTTTTCGTGTGACAAAGATGCTCAATATGACACGTGATACTGGCAGTGCCTGCAACCGCTCGCCATTCCACTGTCGAGGTCCTGCTAGTATTCAAGCGGAACGTGCTGTAGATGAACTTTTAGCCCTAGCAGGGCTAAAGTGGTTGGACCCAGGGACGATCGTTTCTGAACGTTGTCTCGCACACAAGAGCTTGTCCGATCATGGCGCCAACTCGCGTGCATGACGCCTTCTTTATTCCCGAGAATGTTCCTTTACGCGAAACAGTCGTGTCCTTGTACGCGGACTACTGACGTTCAACCAACTTGGTCACTTTGCCATGCATTCAAATAAACTAAACGGCTTAAATGGTTGACATCTCGTCTGCCGTCCCATTTACATTCGAAAAGTTGGCCTGGAACGGACAAATTTAGTGCGCAAGCTGTCGTGTGAATCAATGGAGGAAGTACGCATAGGTACCTTTTAGAGATAAAACTTGCTCGCTGCGAAGCCTGCAGCGGCGTTTTTGGGCGCACGATCCGAGTTCTTGATCCCCCTAGTGGCTGGACGGGAGCGCGTAACGGTCCGCCTGTTACGTGCCACATGTAAGAAAACGGTATGAAAGAAGCCTTTCAGCGATACACGCAGCGCACCAATCTGGGGTCTAGCGAAGTGGTCGAACATGCCAACATTCGGTCTCTGAATAGCGCGTGGCGCTTCCGATATTCCCATATTCCCCATCGGATTTCGCATCGACGAGCTAGGTGCGTCGCCTGCGTAAGGTCTGGCCGTCGGCCTCATCGAAGGGCGGCTAAACTGGCTGGCTTGCGAGACAAGTGGACCGCCTTCCTGATGCAGCATGCCCATCGTAGAGCGAGTAGGTGATGGAAATTGCCGAGAACCCGATTGGGATTTGAGCGTCTTGCACTGATGAAACCACGTCAGTGTTTCGTCCATCTCGTAACAATCTATACTGAGAACTCACCATTTTCTCCCAATTCCGGCATTTTCGTGACTTCTCCTTGTACGCCTGTAGGTACAATCCTCATGGTATGAGCTTCTTGAGACCGAGCACACATAACGCATAATCGGACTTACCTCGCGGAGCTCGTCGTTCGAGCCCTTCAGAGCTTGCATCTTCGACTTTGTCTCTCGAAGCTCTGCTTCAAGCTGGTCAGTGTAGGTCTTCAGCTGAATGTACTTTTCCCCATGTTGAACTTGGAATGCCCTTTGTTCCTCGGCTGCGGTGCATTATTCTCGTTCACTGTTCAAATTACTGCCCAACTCAATTTCCAATCGTGAACATACCTTGTTGGCGTCTAACTTCTTCCTATTTTTCGGAACGAGAACACGACATAAGCGACCGCAGATCACGACAAAAATCGACAAAGGGTCGCCCACCTGTCTACTCAACAACCAGTCAGCCAGCTTGACGATTCGAATCAGCGAATTGCACAACACTCACCTGAACGAGTCTTGAGCCAGCTGGAACTACAGCATGAATCACCGTCAGCAAGTCTGAACCAAGATCTCAGCTGCCTGGAATGCCATTGTCTGCCTACCAAGATAAAATCTGCAGCGAAAGATGTCAATCATATTTTTGTTTCTCGTATGAACTAGGAGCCCGCGTACCTAATGCTTGCTGAAAATGTTCTGCACGAACGTAACACGAATAGCGTAAGTCAGTCAAGTATCTGCATTCGATACACTCACACAGTTCGTACCAAAGCATGACGACGGGTCGGCCATCATTTCTTCCCATATGGCCTGCTCCAAACAGTCAGAGAAATGAAAACTGAACCAACACAATAGCTGCCGAAAGCTCGGTTTTGCAACAACCTCCGTCCTCTGTACATAACGTCACGATAAGTCTTGTATGGTCACCAGCTCAACCAGAGTCGACGTGGATCTCCCGTACCTTGGGATCTGCAACGCCGTGAATCGTTCTGTAACACTGTCAGTAGCTAAACATCCAAACAAAACGAACGTGTCTCTTGCATGTAAAGTGTACGTCTCAGAGATCCCGCCGCGTCTTTATCCACCGCAAACCGAAGTAAAAACGCAGTCAGCAATCGTCACGTTCGATCAAGCAAGCAATACTTGAGCTACTAGGGCCTACGCTTGACTCAGGTCTGCACGACACACACACACACGGAACAACAGGACGCGTCACTTAGCCCAGCGCACATGAGTGTAGCCATTCAGTAGCTGCTCCGCCTACCGACTTGACACGCAGGACACTCGAGTCGCCCCTGTCCAAAGTGTTTGTACGCGCATTTCTCCTGCAACACACAGACAACAACATGAGTACCGCCCGACACGCGCTCCCAAAGAGACGCTGTAGCCCTACACAGAACAAGTGGCCGCAGCTTGTGCGGTAGCACGTCTCGGCCGACTGCGCATCGGGCAGGATCGGCTCCCAGCACGCGTTGCAGCGCAGCTGCGGCCGGATGCGCGACCCCGAGAGAGAGGACGCATCGCCTACGCCGTCCAAGTCCCCCACTGTCGACGCTGCCTGCCGCTGTCCGCGGTTGCGCATGCTCGACGTGTCACTCATGCGGCTGTCGTCGTCCATAGCGAACACTTGTGCAATGCGGAAAGCAGCGCGGAAGCGAAGAGTGATGGTCACTTCAACTTGCCTTTGCGGCTTCTCGCCGTGTTTTTGCACATCCATTTCTATCGATATCCGCGTCATTTCTAAATTCAATTTCTACATGGCAAACCTTTTTGCCGCCGAGCCCGACTCTCGCGGGTGGCACGAGGTCGAGCAGACGCTGACGGCCCTGGAGTTGCCACCCGTTCCCCCGACATCCGAGCCGCAGCGACTACTGGGCTATGTCTTGCAAATCCTTCCGCGATACACCGAGATGGAGATGCTGGTGACGCACCTGCGACTGCACGCGTCGACGCTGGAGCAAGACATGGAGCAGGTGAAGAGCCACGTGCGGTTGCTGACACGTGAAGCAACTGGAGAGCGAGAAAAGAAGCAATTTCTCGAGCGCTACGCTGCACAGGTAGTCAAGGAGCGCAATGGCCTCCTGCACATCGAGAGGGTCCTCGAAACAGAAGACCACAGCGGCGGGCTCGCACTTTGTGTGGCACAATTGCTGCAAGAAGAACGCAAGCCACGCTATGGACATGTCGCCGTCGATTGTGTCCTTTCGAGGCGAGAAGCTACAGGAATCACTGCAAAAGGTGGAAGCGTTGCAGGAAGAAGTGTACAAGCAGGAGTTGCTGCGAAGAGAGCTCGATTTCCTATTGAAAAAGACCCAACGCGAACATGATAGCAGAGTGGCAGCCGACCGTAAGCATATCCAGCAACTGGAGAAGCAGATTGCGCAACGTTCAAATTTGCACTCGGGTCTGGAGAAGAAGCTGTATGAAACCGAGTCGGTACTCGCTCGGCTCGACAGAGCAAAGGAAAACGAGCTAAATGCTGTCAACAATCGTGTTGACGAGGCACACGCTCGCGTAGAAGGTTTGGAAAAAGAAAATAAAAGTTTGCATGTGCTGGTGAAGAGGTTGAGCGATGAAAGGGATCGCGTGACGCAGTTGCTGGAAGAGACGACCGAGTCGAAGAATGTTTTTGCAAGGCGAATGGACGAGTTGCTGGAAACATGTCGCGCACTGGAGTCGGAGGTCGAAGCTTTGCGATCTGAAATCGACGTGCTGCAAACGAAAGATATCAATGACATTCGCAGTCAGTATGATGCTCGAATCAATCGACTGCAGAAGGATAGTGCTGCCGGTGAAGAAGCGTTGCACCAAGAGATTGATCGGTTAAGGCAGAAGTTGACGAAGCGCGATGGGTCGCTAGTGCTGGCATCTCGAGCACAGCAAGGCGGAGATATGGCGGGGGTAAGCTCTGAGCGCCATCCCAAAACTCAGAGGAGCAACGTGGAGAGTATTTCTCTTCCTGGAGATGATTTTAAGTTGAGTGATGGTATCTTTGATGGCGACCGAAGGTCTGAAATGGATGAAGCACAACTCTCGTTTACAAGGAGCGAGCTGCCGAGATCGCACCTATCTCTGAACTTGTCATCTGCTTCTTCTCGCCAGAACGTTTTGCAAGAGGAAACGATAGCTGTTGAACGTAGTTTCTCAACTCAGCACTACGAAGGGCATTCATCTTGTCAAAGCGACGCCGGGTCTAGCAATCGGGGATTCTCAAGAGAACTTGAATCAATTTCTAGGGACCTCAGTACGTCGTCGAACAAAAGTGATACACAGTCTCGTAACGATGGGGTGGACACAAGCGCTTTTGATCAGCCGTTTGACTGGGAGATCTTTATTAACAGTGTTTCAGAGATTTCTGCCTCACAAGGTGAGTCCACAACGATGCCTTTTGTCGATGACAGCATTTCTGAGATTTCTTCCGCACAAGATGAACATACACGATGTCGCATGTCTTCTGCTCCAAGGCACTCGGATCTCGATATTAGCGCTACACGTTACGATGATAGCACCTCAAGAATGCATGGCTTCAGTTTGGACGCACCACCTCCGACTCGTACCGGTAGTACCGCTATCAAGCAGTCAACGGTCAATCAGAATGGTGATCGATCTTTCGATGGAATGGATGGTGCATCGGTATGTGATCGAGGTAGACATGAGTTTGAGTGCGACGAGGAAGAAAAAAGACCCGATACCGAGCGTCGGCTCGTGGGTGACATGCAGGGGCAGCGCAGTAGTAACATTTCGGATACTAGGATCGATCAGGAACAATCTGGTGACTACCAAGAAAGCGTGACGGAAGAAGTGCAAACGCAAAGCGACTTGGTTCGAGACTTATATCAGATGCTGAATAGACTCAAGGAGAAGCGGAAAAGAGAGGAGCAAAAGGCTTTACAAGTAGAGCAGGCTTTGTTTGAGTTTAACCAACTACATCTGAAGTCTTAGGCCTAGTAAGTCTTTCCAATTCCAGCAGAGGGGCCGGCAGAGCCGCATGTCTACTTGGCTCACCAAGACTAACATCACCGCTTGTGCTAAATGAGCGAAGTCGGTCCAGTCGTGTCCTCGATCTTGTGATCAGCTGGTTGTGGACGGGCTTCGTAAACGCACTCAACCACGCCGTGACGCCACTAAACACACAAGACACGTGCAGCAGCTTCGTGTCACTTGTCAAGCCTCGACCGATCGAAGGTTACTAGCGCACGCACCTTTTTGCTTTCTCCTTTCAGCCCAATATAATAGATCTTCGTTTCATTTTCTCCGTAGCTGCCCTCGATATAGAGCGTCACACTGCTGACACCTTGGAATTTGCGCACCCTACAGCAACTGTTAGCAATGACACTCCTCTTTCTCCTCGCTGGAAACAACAACGACGTGAACGTACTGAAGCGGGTAGTCAACACTCGCCAAGTCGTCCTCGACCAGGTCCAATCGCTGCTGAGCGGGCAGCTCATTCGCATTGGCGAATTCAATGTCTTCTCGATTCGTGAACCTTTAACAACGTCACCACAGTAACATGAGATATTTCGCCGTGCCGGTCTCCCGTGAGAGCAAAGACGTGCCCTACAGTCTCACTGCCCTAGGATGAGTCCCATCACCCACAAAGCCAGAGATACAGATGGACTTGATACTAACAGCCTCTGTGAAGGGAATAAACACAATCATCTCTGGGTCGTCGTCGTTGCTGGCCAAAAAGCGCGAACGGTCTTGACGTTCGTGGAACGGTTTGAAGGGGTTTGCAACTGCTAGCGGATCCAGTGCATTGAGTACCCGCAACTTGCTGGTGTCGATGTACGGATAGAGAGAATCTCCATTGGCATCGTTCGCCTCTTCACTGTGGTCGTGGTCGTGACTGTGGTCGTGGCTGTTGTCGTGGCCGCCGCCAAGTGCTGCGTGTTCGTCGTGGCAGTGCTGCATCTCGAGAAGAGCTTGTGGAACCAATACTGGCACTGATTGGCTGAAAAGAATGCGAGATCCACAAAATGGAGTGCGTATGCATCTCCGCGGCGAGGTCCCGTCATGGCGTGTTTGACGAATGTATCTCGCCAGTAAGTCAGACGTTTGTCGCGGTCGATGGTGGCGACACGTTCACAATTGGCATTGCAAGTCCTCGTGGAGACGTAGTTGGATGGGGCCGCGCGTTCTACGGCGAGTTGCCGACCGGATCCGTTCAGCGATGCAAATTGGTGGCTTGTGGCTCGAATCACGTCGTGGTACTGACCCTTTCAGGCCAAGTCATGGCGTGGGGCTGGAACCGGTTTGGTCAAGTCACAATGGCAGTAGCAAATGATTGCGTGCGTGTTCCAGTCGTCGTGAAGTTCTCGCCTGCATCGATTCCTTCGTCGCCTGTGCGGATCGTACAAGTAGCTGCAGGAGGGACGCACTCGCTAGCCATTGACACTTGTGGACGCGTCTGGACGTGGGGATCCAATTCGTATGGACAACTGGGCATTGGATCGAAAACGGGACAGCTTTGTGCCCCAACGCGTATAGCGTTGAGTGCCCGTGTCCACCACATGGCTGCGGGATGGGCGCACAGTGCGTTGGTCTCCATAGCAGGCGAGGTATTCACTTTCGGTTGGGGGCTGTACAACCAGCTCGGCCACGGGTCTATCCAGGACGAGTCTGTGCCTGTTGCTGTAGACGCTCTCTATGGACTCGACAGCGAAGTCGTGCAGGTTGCGTGCGGCAACTGGCACACAGCAGGTAAACTATTGATGTGTAGCTTGGCGCATGTTGCAAAGTCTTTTGCTTGAATGTCGATGACTGTCGCATGTCCCCAGCTTTGACTGCGTCCGGTGACGTATACACGTGGGGATGGGGAAAAGACGGTCAACTGGTAGGTTCTTGATGCAGCTTGTTGTTGCCACTAATCGATGACGTGTGCATTGACGCGACCTCGTACCAGGGTCCCGAAAGCTCTGTCGCAACACAAGTGCTCCCGCGCGTCGTGAACGTACTGTCAAGTCCAGGAACAAGCGAATCCATCCAGGACGTGACGTCGATTGCGTGTGGCAGCCGCTTTACCATTGCGTTGCTTCAAGACGGCTCTGTCCAATGGTGGGGCGTAAGATCAGCGCGAAGCGGACCGCACAGCGTCATAACACGTCAGGAGTCAGCGCTGCATGGGGAAGGGTACGTACCTCAAGACGGACGGCGTATTTGCAAGGTGGCCGCTGGCAACTCGCATGCTATTCTTCTGCTAGAGACGAGAAGAGAGCATGCACAGCAAGAGTAGGCATTGTCGACGCGCAACAATGGAATGTTGTTGTATTAAGCAACAAACATTTTACACGGCATCAAGCTTCTTGAATTGGCAAGGAAAGCTGTTGAGTGGCAACCACCAGCTTCTTCGTCACGACCCAAGAGTGCCAAGGGGTAGTGAAGAGGTACGTCATTGAGCTCTTCCGCTAAGAGACCGCATTACATGACGGTACAGCCACAGACTCCACAGGCACCCGCGGATTCCTCAGGCTTTTTCGCTTTCTTCTTCTCCTTCTTCTTCTCCTCCTTGGACGCCTTCCACTCCTCCTTCATCTTCTTTCCCTTGGCCACACTGTCGTTCTTGTAGCCCTCCACCGTGCTCGCCACTTTGGCCGTGAGGTCCTTGGCGTCCTCCACCACGTGTCGCGTCTTGTCCTTGATCTTGTCCGCGGCGCCAGCGTTTGCTTTCGGTGCGGCGTTCCATGCCACGTGCTCTTCCTTCTTCGCGTGCTTCGTGGCACTGACGGGCTTGGACGCGCGCGGAGGCTCTTGGCCAGGCACAGGCGCAGCGTTCCAGGGCGAGTCCGACATCGTGTGCGAGTCGAATACGGGAGTGCGTTTGAGTGAGTGAATATGTGAGTGGGTGACAATCGACGAGTGAGCTCGAAGATCGAGGGCGAACTGATTTAAATTGAGGTGGAGAACACGGTTTAGGTCGGTGCTCAAGACGCAACAACAAGTCCGAAAAACTGAATCACGCGCTTCACATTATTGGGGTCAGCTATAGGTTCAAAGACGCCGAAAGTCACGTCGGACGCAATCAACAGCTGGCGCTTTGGCTGAGTTCTGCGACACTTTTTGCCTCAAAGAGCAGGTCCGCAATCAGCGTAGGCACCTGAGCAAAGAACAATTACTGGATACTGCAACCGCCAATGCCACAGGCACCACAAGCTCCGGGCACATCGGCTGGTCTAGTTATAGCCGCCTCCACGCTCGGGGCCTTCTTGGGGTGTGCCACGCTGTTAGCTTCGTAGCTGGCGACGCCATCAAACGCGTTCGCGATAGCCTTCTTGTCAATCGTAGAATCCTTGGAAACAACCTCTGTGGCTATGACAACCCCCTTGGCGGCCGCTACAGGCGTCTCCTTCGTCACATTTGTCGTCTTGTCATCAACAATGGCGTGCTTCTGGACTACCCCCGCTTTCTTTGCGGGCTCCGTCGACTTCTTCACCGTACCAGCTTTAACCTCTTCTCGGACTGGAGTCGCATTCCAGGTCGATGACGAAGACGGTGTATCCTTCTCTGCCGCGACGGCAACCTCCTTAGCCGGAGGCGTGATGGGTTCAACCTTTTTGGCTTCGGCAAAAGCTGCAGGTTTCTGCTTGCCCGAGTCCTCCGTGATGGGGACGTCCGTTTTCAGTACACCCTCTTCAACAGGCGTAGTATTCCATGCACTTGTCGACGGGGCATCTTCTGTAACATGTACCTTCACCATCGACTTGGAAGCCGCCGCCGCAGGATCGGACGTATCGGGGACAGCAGGTTTAGCCGCCTTCACTACCGAAACAAGCCTGGCTACCGTGGCTGGCGTAACCTCATCTCGAACGGGCGCTGGGGTGCAGAGAGTGGCTTCGCTCTTTTCAGTCTGCGTTGGTGCCACAGTCCATGCACTTGAAGTCTCCGAAGAGGCTTTGTCGATGCAAGATGACTCCTCCTCCGCTTTAGCCACAGCAGGATCTGACACGGAGGAATCTCCCACTACCGTATTTGCCACTGATGGATCTGCCACCGCGGCGTCCGCCGCCGCAGGGTCTGCCACGGCAGGGCATACCACGGCAGCTTTTGTCGCAGACCCTGCCGTCTCTGTAGCACTGACGGACTCTTTCGGCATGTTGCCCACCTCTGTTGCAGCAGGAGGGGCCTCCTCCTGAACAGACTCGGTCGTCCACGAACCGTCCGACGTCGAAACGGAAGTCCCTTCATCTGCTGCTTCGTTGTGCAAAACAACAAACTCGTCGACCATCGGAGCAGGTGGATCCATGACAGATGTTACAGCAACTGGCGAGTCACCGAGAGAATCATCCGAAACTTCAGCTTCCTCCGCACTGCTCTCCTCTTCAGCTGCAGGCTCTACCACAGCAGGCTTCGATTCAGCTTTTGCCTGGACAGGCGCAGTCGTCCATGCACTCGCAGATGCTTCCTCCACCGTCTCTGCACCAGTCGTATCATCGTCAATCTGTTTCCGCACTTTTGACTCGTCATGCTTCACATTCGACTCCTTCACTTCTTCACCAGCTTCTCCATCATCAGGAGCACACACCTCCTTTGCCAATGCAGACGACGTCTCCTTGACCTCCTCCGCCGCTACAGGGACAGCAGACGTCCACGCTGACGGTGGCGGCGTCTGTTCAGCCTCAACGACAGGAGGCACCGCCCAAACCGATGATGATGCAGCGCGCTTCTCAGCCGACTCTACTTTACTTGCTGGCTCAAACGCTGCGGCCAAGACTGGCGTCGACTCTTCTTTGCTCGGTACATCCTTCACCGCAGCATGGCTGGCTGAATCTGGCTCAGGTTCCGTCTCCGTGGGCAACGAAGACTTGACAGGGGATTTGAACGGGTTCCTGGTCTGAAAAGGAGACACGGCCCACGGGGTGGCCGACTCGGGGCTTACTGCGGGCGCCACGTTCCACGGACTGCTGCTGTTCTCGGAGCTCATGCTACTAAACGAGTGGTGCTTCTTGACGTGTTTGTGTACTGCAAACATTTCCAGCCACAAGAAGACACACACACGACACACCCGCGCACAGCCGTGAGTACGTTTAGACGACAACGAGGGTCGACGTGAGCGACGGCGGTACGGTCACTAGGGGAAAAGCGGCGGCGGTCCAAAGCGTCTGTGTCCCGCGTTCGCTCCGCCGCGCTCGGCGTCTGTTGAACACGACTCGACGACACGTTGTCGCGGGACGCACCTTGCTTGTCGCGGGGCAGGAGGAAGCACTGTGGGTCGCAGAGTCGTTGCAGCGCGCTCCTCTCTTGGTGTGGGCGAAGCGCTGGAGGTGCACCGGGGATAGTTCCAAATGACTTGAAGGGGCGGGCGCCCTGAGCACGAAGCGGCAGCCACCTGCTTTTCTTATGTATTTTTTCGGGTTTTTTTCCCGCTAAGTGCGGACGGAGAAATCAGGAGGCTTGTATTGGGAGTAGATAGCGCTTCTGGCCGACGCTGTGGTTTCGACCGGACCGCGGGCAAGGTAGACGGTCAGTGCCGGGTCGAGATTGCCGAGGTTTGAAGAAGGACCCGCGAGCTACGGGTTTCGTTTCACCGCCAGGATGCGCTTGCGCGAAGTTAGCACCTTATCAGAGAATACCCTTATACAAGCACACACACAGATGGGTGCACACCTTTTTACAAGAGTGGCATTTTCATAAGTAATTTTTACGTTGTCGATATGATGGCGAAGAAACGATCAGTTTCGCCACACCCTTCTGGTTTCTCTTGCTTCTTATTACACTCACCCATCTCTACGAGAGACAACTTTGTGCCCAATTTTTACAGCGAGTCTTATAAAAAGTCTCTTACAGAGAGGTCTGAAAGAAAGAAAATGCATAAAATTTTAAAGCGTGGCCCTTCGATTATTAGGAAATGTGACGTTTTTCTACCATATGAAGTCTCATGTCGAGCTGTTTCGCCCTAGCGTACCGGTTCTTGCAAATAACCGACGACATCTTATCCAGATCTGACTGTATGATTCACGTGTCCTCATCTGAGCGCATGAAGTACGAACGCAAAAGCAGGCAGCACTTTAGTGCTTCTTTTGCACTGACAGGCGCTTGATCTTCGTCGCTTTCGACTTCCGCGGGCTCCACTTCTGCTTCAATCAGAGCTTCATGTTCTTCGTGAATCTGCTCGTGTACCTCGATTTTGACATAATCATCCACGCTAACGGCTACACCAGGCTTTTGAAACATATGAGCCAGATTGTAACGGGGTTGAAACGGGACACACCCTTGCGTGAACTTAACGCAAAGGCTTGGGTGCCCCGACAGACGTACACGAGGGAAACGAGGAAGCGTAGATAAGGGAAAAGTAAAACTGTTATATTAATATAATTATGTCTTTCAACTACTGTCTCTCTGTTTGACTTAACTTAATTATGCTAATATAACTGAGTGTATGGTGACGTCTCGTCACCACTCATTGCGCGCGTCCTGCGGCGATTGGTGGGTTGATATCATCAAGATATCAACCAATGACACAGACTCTTTGGTCGACCCTTCAATATCACCACTTCGGTGATATTGTTAAAAGAATATCCGACGTAATATTCTTTATTGTCACTTTCCTTAAAGCGACAATTCCATGTAACGGGCTGCCCCGTTACATCACCCCCCTTAACTGATAGTCACCGTGTGACTATCGAAAATGTGGTGGCCACCCGTTGGTCACCATTGGGACAGGGAGCACTTGTTGGGTCCGTTCCATTTACTTTCCGCTTGACCTCGCATAGTTAACATGTCTATGCGAGGCGACTCAAGACCTGCACAGCCCGGTGCTGTGCCAGCCTCTGCGGCAGACGATTCGTCGTCTGCTGCTCTTTCTTCGCCTGCAGCAACAGGTGCTGCAGGTGCACGCGGTATCGCACCGCGTGCGCATGATGACCTCGACGTTGAGGTCATCTACTCTGGCGAGTCAGACGTGTCTGACTCGGGCAATGCTCCAGAGGCGTCTCGCTCACCGGCGACGCTCAGTATTCGCCAAGGCCACTGCCGAACGAACGGACTCGTGATTTGCATCACAGTCTGTTCGGCAGTGATGACGATGATCAGGGTGGTGAGGAATATTATTCCTTACCACCGCCGGCTCGTGCGTCTTCGCAAGAGCGTGATGACGATGGCGTGAGCCGTCGTCAATCTGGGAGCCGTGGTACCAACAAAGGTACCACTGTGAAGCGTGATGAGCTGAAGCCGTGGCGTTTGCCCGAACGGCTCATTAATAGCTTGTCTCACGAGACAAGCCAACACCATCGAATACCCTTATTCGATGCGACTGAGCTTCACGTCTTGAGTCCCAGCGCGAAGAACTTTCGCGCTGAAGAAGATTTTTATCTCGATGTCTTTCTTAGACACCGATGGTAAAACGGCAACCAAAAGCGTGACAAAGCCTCGATTTTGGCTGCGTGGAACGCGTTCGTCCAAAACGTAAAGAATTTTGGACGAGAAGGGTGGCTCAAGAAACTTGAGGCGACACGCCTCAGGTTCGAAAAGCGAACGCCAACCGGTGCCAGGTACCGGTTGCACTATTTGTCGAGTGAGGCAGACATTCCTTGCCTCACATGGGGAGACCCTTGTGCGAGTTGTGTTGACAACTCGCAGCGTGCACATAGGGACGTGTATTCCCCAAGTTCGCCCTGGGGAAGGCAAACATCTCGAAGGAGATGCGTGACGCGATTGCAAACTTGCAATCCGTCTACAAGCGCCAAAAGCGCGTATTTGCCGATGGGCCCGAGGACTCATCGGATGGGTCTCGTCATACTGGCGGACGAGACCTTCAACATCCACCAACAGCTGAGAGCGGGGCTCCCAGCTGTTCCAAGAGGGTGGATACCCCCGCCACTGGACGAGGTAGCTCGTCCTTGATCCTGAATCGTCACGGTGATTCAAGATAGGCTCCACTAGGAAGCGTTGATCACCGTGAGCATCCACCAAAGGATGTGGTGGAGGAGGAAAGACCTCCTCCAGATGATTTGGTTCACCATCTCGACCCTTACGAGATGGATCGCGCAAATCAATGAATTGCGCGATGACTTGAAGCACGAGCGCGGCCGGCGCTACGCTTTGACAGATACCGTGCGGAAGAACCGCAAGGATCACGAGGCTGATCGGGCGAGGGATCGCGCCGATTATGCCACAGCGCAGCTTTAGGTCGAGCGGGATGTCCGCTCCCTATTCGGCGAGCTGGCGACAGCTCGCGGGGAGATATCTCGGTTAAGTTCCGAGGTATCATATCTGCGCGACCAGACGAATCGTCTGGAGGGCGAACGCAAGAACTTGATGGATGTTCTTGATCGAGGATATGTCCACTCGTTTTCGAGTTGGAGCGAATTCCTACCCATGGTGGAATTCGCCATCAATAATTCGGTGCATGCTACCACACAGCACACACCGTTTTACGTGAATGGCCTACGCCATCCACGTGTGCCCGCCCTTCTCGAGTATGACTCTTGGATAAGGGGGTGAGGGACTCGCTCGGGCAAAAAACCGTTTTGGCTCTTGCTCATCACGTGTCGACGCTACCGTCGTCACGAATGATGCCGATGTCGATCAAGTCGACATCGATGAAGAAGATCACCTCAATAATAGCGATGACGCTATTATTGACTCGGATGATGATGACGATGCTGGTATATTCAGCATCGTCAACGATTATGCCAGCGAGAAAGAAGACAACATCGCTGAAGAAGAGAGCGATCTCTTAGCAGTGCGCAAGAAGCGCACTGAAAGACAGAACATAGAGTCAGCAGAGAACTTCCTGCTGACTCGAGAAGCGGTAGTCCGTTTCGTTCAGGACTCCATCGCAAATGCGGTGGACCGTCAGAAACGGAACGCAGACAAGAATGGAAGAGCAAATGCTCTTTCATTTAATGTTAATGACCTAGTACTACTGTCTACGGTAAACTTACCTGGACATGCCGTCACTAGTGTCGGCAGTAGTTTACTACTGCCGAAGCACATTGGACCATTTCGTGTGTTGCATCGCAAGGGCAATGCATACACACTCAAATTGCCACGTAAGATGCGCATGCATCCTACGTTTTACGTGGGGAGGCTCAGGCCGTACTGTCAGTGCGAGCCTTCTTCTTCCGATGAAGATAGCCCCCAGGATCTCTTCGAGGACACGGTTCGCACGTTTTGTCTGACCATCTGTTTCCGGATGGTCAGAAGTAGACATCTTCAATCGTGTTCCCAATGTGCGGGACACGGTTTGCCAAAATGCCGCCGTGAACCGAGGGTCACGGTCAAATACGAGTTCACGGGGTAACCCATGGAGTCTCGAGACCGTGTCAAGAAAGACACGAGCACAACCTTGAGCCTTGATCGACTCAGGGACAGCAGCAAGATGGACCATCTTGCTGAACCGGTCAACAAACACAAGAATACCATTATTCTTGTGAGCGTCTTCGGGAAAACCGAAGACGAAGTCCATTGAAACGGACTGCCAGCATTCTGTCGGAACAGGCAGAGGCTGCAATGGCGCACGGTATGAAGGACTAGGCTTCACCCGTTGACAAACCTCGCAAGCACGTATGTACTTGCGGAAAAACTGATACTGGCGTGGCCAGTAAAAGTCACGACTTACCGTGAGGTAAGCCTTTTCTCTCCCACGATGACCAACTGTTGGGGCATCGTGACACTCGTACATGATGCGTAAACTCAAATCATGATACGGGAACGACGACACGAGGCGTGTCGTCGGCAACAGCTGTATAATATAACAGTCCGTTGCGTGTACTATACTGATCCGATGAGGATCGGTACAAAGCTGGTTAATCCCTCATGAATTTGCTGGATGGATTTCACTAGATGATCCATCAATCGCAGAAGATCCTTATCTTCTGCATATGCCTTTCGTACGTCGTCAAATAAGCTTGACGACGTAACACTGACTGACAGTGTCGCAACAGTGGGCTTATACTCACTGTTGGATTGTGCGCCTGGCTCGAAATCGGGCCGGCGCGAGAGCGCATCAACGACGACATTGAGTCGTCC